GTAACCACCGGCGGCGCAGGCCGAGCGAGTCACATACCCCGGCCGAGCAGGGTTGGGTACCGCAAACTGATGAATCGCTTCTTCCAGTTCCGTTGCTTCACCTGAGAGCTGCAGGGCTGTGCACCACTATCGCCGGCCTCAGTCCTCGAGCTCTCTTGCTCCGGCGCAGGCTTTGCCTTGAGAACCGCCGTGGACATGGCGACGTCGCTCACGCGAAGACTGGGCTTGGTGCCGGGGTCAGTATTGACGCGCTGAACCTCGAGCTTCCCAACGGGCTCCGGCCCCGACTCGACGCTGGGCTGGGCCGTTTCGGGCTCAGTGGCCCGAGGGGGCTGAGCAGCGTCGGGAAAACGGGCGGGGACCGGCGGGTTCGCCTCAGGCTCGGGTTCGGGCTCTGATTTCGCCATCGCTTCGAATTCCTCGGTCGCCTCAGGTGCCTGCAGCATGGTTAGCAATGACTCTTGTTCTAATGTCTGGTTAATGGTTCTACCTTCTCTGTCTCCGGCTGCGCCTCCGCCTCCAGCTTCCGGCTCGCTTCCAGCGATTCGTCGGCAGCGGCATTCTCAGCCGTAACAAGTCCCGGTGCATCAGCAACCTTCTCCGGTAACTCCTCTACCAGCGTAGTCGGCACAGGCTCTGGGTTAGGCTCGGACTCGACGGTCGTTTTGGACCAATTCTCGGCGGCTGCCGCGAGGACCGAATCGTCGTCCCCAAGAAGAGGTGCCGGAGCCAGATCCTGAGGCGCTTCGACTGTCTTGGCTTGCCGGTCGGTCTTGTTCTTGGCGTCCGCACCGGAAGCAGCAAAGTCGCGAGTGTCGGTTCCCGGGATCTGGCTGGAGCTGGCAATTGATTCAAGCTCATGTGTCGTCGGCTCGGGTGTGACCACAACCACGGGCTCGAGATCCAAGAGTGAACGAGCCTGCTCTTTCCTGGGCTCAAAATCAGGCGCTTCCCAGAACCCCGAGTCTGCTTCTCGAAGAATCGGCCCGTGAACCTTGGGTTGAAGGAAGGGTTCAATCTCAAGCTTGTGCCCGAGCTTGGGGATGGGCTCGAGCTCCCTAGAGGGCGGCTCCCGATCGATGTCCTTTCCCGAACCCTCCCCCTCCCGTTGAGCAGCGGGCACGGCCTCGGATGTCACTGTCTCGGCGAAAGCACTGGTCCTGACTGCAGGCTCCGTGTCAACTCCGGCCTCCGGTTCGTGGGCTGGCTTGGGCTGGTGCTCAACGACAGCTCTATCCCCGATTGATGGGCCCGGCGGGGGCACAACATCGATGATGACGGGGCCCGACTCTGGGAACTTCCCAAAGACAGGGATGGGGTCGGGCGACGGCGTTTCATCGAGCCGTGGCGTTGCTGGCTCCGGGAGGAGTGGCTCTTGCGGAGTCGATCTCGCCCATGAGGTCTCGGGTATGTTTTCGGGTGATGGCCACGGCGTCGCCCTCGGGTTCTTTCGAGTGGATGAAACCTCGTCCTGGGGGGTGGATCTCAACCTCGTCTCATCCAACGACGGCGGTGAGGCCGGGGGAAGCGGCGAAACAGACCGGGAGCTGCCCGGGCTTGTGATGGGGCTCGCAATGGTGCTCGCGGCTGGGGGCGTGGCGGGTTCTGGCCGAACGACAATTCTCTCGCAAAACAGCTCCAGGACAGTCCTGAGGAGGACCCGGTTTGGCGAGAGAATGCTGCTGATTTGATCGAGCAAGTTCGAGCCGAGCAGCAACTTTGGGTCCTGAAGGTGTGGGCGGATGCGCGACCTCAGGTAGTCAAGAAACCAGCCGTCACTCTCGGTCAATGTCGGGTAGGCGTCCCGAGCCACCTCGAGCAGGGAGGGTAGAGGCAAGCCCTCGCCATACTTGCCGATTCTGGCTTCGGCCAGTCGCATTAGATCCGGCAGATCGTAGGCCCTGGCAGCGGCGTATGCTTGAATGCTCGTCTTGAGCTCGTAGCTCTGCTTCGACATGGCGTCGGTTGGCCTCGGCTTGAGCGAGCCATATGTGCCCGTGTGGAGGTAGTGAACAAGGACATGGCCGACGTCCTCGGGGATGGCCGGGAGCTCCCGCAACCGGCTCTCGTAAGCGGCATGAAGCTTCGGGCTCTTCTTGAGAATGTCCAGTGGCAACGTGAGGGGGCTGGCGAAGGGGATGGTGCAGGCGGGGCTTCCATAGGGACTGAAAGGGGGGACATGGGTCAGCTCCGCGCTCTACAATCGCGCGCGCGGGGGAAAGAGGGGAAATTAAGACCCGCACTTACGAAGTCTCCGGTCTGGTGTCAACTTCCTGCATCACGGGAGCCGCGATGGCGGCCGGCTCCGCCGCTGGTGCCGAGCTTGCCGAGTGCGGTATCTTGGGGACGCCGCTCTTTTTTCTCCTCGCCATGATGGAGGTGAAGATGTACGATGTGGCAGCGACGAAGGAGATTCCGATAAGGGTTGCAGCTTCGGTCGTGATGTAGGTGTGAGGGTTGGAGGGACGTCTCATTGCATTGATCCAGCCGCTGTCCTTGGACGGATGAAAGGCCAGAGATGGGGGGTGTATTTCTACCCCATGCCCACGGCGCCCTCCAGGGTCGCGATGGACGGTGAGCTGGCATCGCTGCCACTCCCTCCACCCTTCCCCGGCTTAGGGGTTCACTCCAGCATCGACGCTGGCCATTGGTGTCAGGTTAGGCCTCGATGACCGCCCTGAATGGCCGAGGCAGCCAAGCCCAAGATCCACCGGCCCCTGAAGCAGCCCGAGCCAGGGCTTGAGAGGCCAAATGCCCATGTCCCCCAGGGCCCGCGTTGTGTTGCCACTGGTGAGCTGTCAACGCCGGACAACGTCGAGACGCGAACGATGGGCCGAGATCCGGTAAGGAGATCAGCGTTCCTTCCGCCGTGGTTGCGCGCTATGAGTCAGCGAGCGATGTGGCCGTTGTTTTCCAATCGGATGCAGCCCCGCCAAGACGTTCGGACTTTGGGGTGGGGCCGCGTCCCTGCCGAAAGCCGCTGGGATGTGCAAGCACGGAGACATGTGAGCTCCAACTCCACGTGGCCCGTGTCCTCTTCCCGCGCCCGGCATGCTCGTTGGGTCGTTGCTGCCGCCTCGCCTGACGCGAAGCCCAATGTTCCACGAGGGGGTGGGGAAAGGGGAAGGGGGATGCCCAAAGTGCGTCCTAGGCTCGAGCTAGGCTTCTCGCTGGCTGTCCCGCAAGCCGCCACGTAGGCCGGCGCCAGACCAGGGCCCTCCATCAATCAACATCGGGCCTCCGTGTCGCATGAAATAATATGACGACTCGGGGCCACGGATTAGGTAACGATGCTTGGTGCCGTCGGATCAGTCAAACCTCGAGGAGGCCATGCTGTACATATGTTTTCTTGGGCTCGATCAAGCTTGGCCCGATTGGGAAGACAGCCCGAGACGGCGGCGGAGGGAGTGCATGCTTGGCGCTCGGCCCGTCAGGGTGATCGCTCCGAAAAAGAAGCAACAAGAACAGGGGTAGCTGACCACCCCACCCCACAACAACTCCCAGCGGGAGGCCACAAACCACCACAACCCAACACCAACAGAGCGAAGCGCCCTTCAATTGACCCTATCTTCGTGCCCAATAATTAACACTGAAACCCGTTGTTACACGGCTACGCAAAGATTTGTCGTCTGTCAAACTTTTTTCAAGTCCTGACCTCCGACTGGCCCCAAGATGGAGGACCATTTCCCGCACATGATACCGAAGCACTGCGAGGTGTGCAAGAAAGTGGACGGGTTGCTCCGGTGCGGGGCTTGCAAGACTTATTACTACTGCAGCCGAGAGCACCAAACCGCCGACCGCCCGACGCACAAGACGACCTGCAAAACGATCAAAGGCTCCAAGGAAAAGATTGACGAGGAGGAGGCCCGGCTGCGCGCCAGGGCGGCTGGGGATGACGGACTACCGCCCAATGTCCTCGAGGCTCACGGCGGCAGGCTATGGCTGTGGACGCCCGCCCGTCCGTACCTGCATGCCATGTTTGTCCACGGCGAAATGCTGATCCGCTCCTGGCGCCAGCAGGGGATCGAGGACGCCCTCACCCTTTATCTGTCCGTGCTGCAGAAGAACACGACCGACAACCAAGGCGTCCGGCACCATATCCCCGCGCTGTACATGCGGCTCGGCCGCAACCAGGAGGCCTATGACTTCCTCAAGGCCTGGGGTCTCCAGTTCATGGGCCGACCTGAGGCCAGCGCTCCCGACGATGCCAGGCCAGCGTACCAGCGCCTCAAAAACGCCCACCCAGCTGAAGAGGTTGATCTCTGGACCGGACGATTCCTGGATCTTCCACTCGTGTCGAGCGTCCAGCTGGTCAAGGTTCGCTTGCTGATCGGTCTGCAGGGGCTGCTGGCTTTCAGAAAGGGTCTCCCCCATGGGGCACCAGTGCCACCCGCTAGAGATATCCTTGCAGACGTCCGTGGCAAGTGCTGTGATGACATCTTTGATCGCATGCCCGAAGAATACGCCGACGTGGATTTGATCACCAAAAAGTGCGACGACATCAACCGGCAGCTGAACGAACTTTTCGTTGCTGTTGGAAAATACAACAAACACTTCTGGCCGATGATGCTACATCCCGAGGAGCGCGACTTCTCAACTCGATCCCACGGCTTCCTCCATGGGTCCCGTGAAGAGGCACACCTCGCATTTACGTGTACTTACTCGGCCTGGTGTGAAACCCCCATGGCGCTCCAGACGGTACGAGCCAGCTTCGCCGCAGGGGAGGAATAGGATGGTCCTGGGAGTCTGGTAAGGGAACAGCTGGGCCGTTTCTGTTGGATCAGGCGGCGGGGAGGAATAGGATGGTCCTGGGAGTCTGGTGAGGGAACAGCTGGGCCGTTTCTGTTGGATCAGGCGGCGGGGAAGGGGGGGACTTTCCAAGCATTTGAGATATAAACTGAGATATAAGCCATTGCGGCAGAGGGCAAAAAGTGAGAGCGCTGAGAGTGCTCGGGTAGATGCAACACAAACCAAGGGGGGTTTGGCAGGAAAAAGAGATGCGTCACCTGTAGGATTCGAACCTACGCTCCCGAGGGAACTGCCTAGCAGGCTAACTGGGGGTTAGTTAGCAGGGCAGCGCGTTAACCACTCCGCCAAAGTGACTTCAAGTGGGTTAAAATGGTGATGGCTTCTGTCAATTGCAAATCCCATCTGCCATCCTCAACTTGCATGCAGGCGAGGCCGGGCCGTGAAAAGAAAGGTTTCTCTGCAAACTGGGGCAGCCGGTGGCGTGATGTCAAGCAAGCAATCATATAAAGGTCAACAGCGTGCCAGTCAACTTTGCAGAGGCGACCGCGGCCCCAAGATTCAAGGTATGAAACGAGTTGTTTGGTGGTATGACCTGCCCCTGCCCCTGACGCCAGACAATGCAACCATCGACACAACCAAAACACTGCGGCTATCTGCGGCCGCCACGCCCACCCTGCCCACCCATCATGCCGCTCATTTGCTTCATCATAGCGTTCATATCCATGCCTCCCATGCCGCCACCGCCACCACCAAACATCTTCATCAAGCTAGCCATGTCGGGCATGCCGCCGCTTCCACCGGCGCCGCCCATGCTCTGCAACCGCTTCTGCATGGCCGCAAGCTGCTGGGCCTTGTTGCCGCCTGCCATTGCACTCTGTGCCCTCTGCATGTTCTTCATATTGCCGCCCATCTTCTTGGCCATACCGGCCATCATGCGTTGCTGTGTGAGCAGGTCCTCAACCTCGCGGACGGTGGTGCCCGAGCCCCTGGCGACGCGAGTCATCCGCGTCGGCTGCTCAATGAAGATCTTGCCGTCACTGTCGAGTTCCTTCTCGGTCATACTGTCGCAGATGTAGATCATGCGCTTGAGCTTGAGTGAGCCCTCGTCGTCGTCCATTCCCTGCATCATGTTGCTCATGCCCGGGATCATGCCGGCCATCTTGCTGAGCGGGCCCATCTTCATGATGTTCTGCAACTGGTCGCGCAAGTCACGGACGGTGAAGATGCCCTCGGTGATGTGCTTGATGGTCTCCTTTTGGTCGAGCTTGAGGCTCTGGACATGTTCCACCAGCCCGGCCATGTCGCCCATCCCGAGCAGCTTGTTGATGAAATTTCGCGGCACGAACCGCTCCAGATCCAGCATGTGCTCGCCGGTGCCGATGAAGACGATGGGAGTGTGCGTCGCCGCCACAGCCGAGATGGCTCCGCCGCCCGCGGCATGACCGTCTGTCTTGGTGATGATGATGGCACCGAAATCCGCAGCCTCCTTGAAGGCCTTGGCTTGGGCCTCCGCCTGCTGGCCGATCGAGGCGTCCAAGACCATAATTGTCTCGTCCGGCTTGATAGCCGCCTGGATATCCATCATCTCCTGGAAGAGAGCGCTTTCTTGCCTGTGCCGGCCTGACGTGTCGACGATGATGACCTCAAAACGCTCCTTCTTGAACTTGTCGACACCGTCCCGGGCGACCACGGCCGGGTCCGTTTCCGTCAGGCTACCGTAGTACGGGATCTTTGCCTTGGTCGCATTTTGCTTCAACTGGTCAAAGGCACCAGCACGGAATGTATCGGCGCATACCAGGCAGGCGCGGAAGCCACGCGACTGGTAATGCCTCGCAAGCTTTGTACATGTTGTGGTTTTTCCCGCGCCTTGTAAACCCACAAACATGATGACGTTGGTCTTGCCCTTCTTGGGCTTGAAGGGATCGGCATGGGGATCGACGAGGCGGACGAGTTCATCAAAGACGGCTTTCTGGATCAGGCGCTTCTTGTTGACGGCTGGCGGCAGTTCTTTGAAGTTGACAGTTGATCGGATCGACTTGCGCAGCTGGCCCACCAGGCGCACGTTGACATCGGCCTCGAGCAGTGCAGAACATATTTGCTTGAGCATGGAATCGAAGGCCTGCAATATACGACAGTCAGCAATCGTGTCGAAGAACGCTCCTCCATCGCTCCGGTGGGATGTTGCGGCGGTGGCACCCCTGGCCAAGAGCAATGGAAGCTTGCCTTTTCGTCCAGATTAGGCGCCCGCGTCAAGTCGCTGACGGCCGCATTGATGCGGCGGCCGAGATCTTGGAGAACCATGGCGAGGAAACCACGGCTGCAAGGCCGGCAAGAAGACTGAGGGTGGTCGACCTGCGATGCGGTGCGAGATGTTCACTGCTGGTGATGATGATGGTCGGCAGCTGGGAGCACGAAAAGGGTGGGGCACTGTGGGAGGAGGGCCGTGCGCTTTTGGCAAGGCCCCCTGCACTCTTTTGACAGCTGGCAAGGACAAAGTGCCAGGCACCATCGGGGATGGAATACCTATCAAAACCATGAATCGCGGTCAGTCACCCTTCCCGTCCAAATGCCACATACCAACCCCTACGCCCGGGAGATGGGCTGAAGACATTTGTCAATGCTGGTGCCAATTTTGATTGCGTGCGTATATTCTTCCCCTCTCCTCAGCATCTCTATTTACAGAAACACGCCCATAAGTCTTCCCCCCATCCTCAGGCTCCGCCTTGTGATGGGGGGAAGCCCCCTTCCCCTACACACAAATGCCGCCGCAGTCGGCACCGCCATTCATGGGGTCACAATCGTCAGTCGGATCATCGACACACTTCTTGCCGTCCTTGCAAGGAATTCCAGCAAAGCCTCCGCAGAAGACGGGCTTGACACAGATGCCAGGCATGTCGCAGGCCATGCCGCAGCCGCCGCTATATGGGTCGTCGATGCAGATCTCGCCTTCAGGGCACTCGACGGGCTTGATGCGGAAGCCGCCGCACGACGCGTAGGTTGGCTTCGGCGGGCTTGCCGTGGTCTTGGTCACAAGGGTGGCGGGCGCAGGAACGCAATAGCCCTGGCAGTTTTCGGCGCGGTCGCAGCTCGGGTCGACTTTCTGGCAGACCTCACCCGTTGGGCAGGGCGCGATCTTGAAGCCGCACGGCCGCTTCGCCGTGGCGGCCGCGGCGGCTCCCAGGAGGGAGAGAATGGCGAGGGGGACAGACCGCATGGCGACTCGAGAAACTGGTGGACCCCAGATATGATTTGTGTGAATGTATTGCGTCTTGGATGTTCAGCAAGTGAAGCAATGCTGCCCTTCGGCGGGCAGCATCGCCGTTTTGTATTCGCATTCCAGTCCATCAGCCCGCCACCTGGTTGCACTGGCCACGCAACGACGGTGAGCGGCATGGGAGCGCAGCAATCCTGTTTCTCGTGTTTGGCTCGGCTGAAATGGAGGTGTGGCTGGCTCGGGGACATTGCCCATTCTTCGAATGCTACGATATCAGCTTGGAGAGGGCGATCTGCTCACCAACTCCCCCAAGCCAAGCCGGAGTTTGTCCCCGTCCACGTTTTCGGCAGCAACCAGAGGCCAGGGTCCTCCGCCACCTATTTACCCTATTTTTAGCTGAGCAGCGCTCAACTCCGCAGATCAGGTCGAGAATTATTTGCGAGGGCACCCTGTCAAAAGCCAATGGATGTTTGTCGACTCCCCTGCCCGTCGCAGCGCCATACCGGGCCGAGACGCGCCTCCTCGGACCTACATACGCCGTCCACCCATTGCCAGTACCTCCTGGTGTTGGGTGGAACAACGTGTGTTGTAACATCGGTCGACGCCAGATACCGACTGCTACACAGTTCGCAGAGTATACTCAAACGAGTTGCATCAGACGAGGAAGTTCCCAGTCACCACGCAAAGGCACCTCCATGTGTATTTCTCGGATGTATCTACGGAGACTCGGCCACGGAGATCGGGTAGGTCTGGCCGCCCTGGCGTTTATTTCCCATTGACCCTCCGGAAACCGGACGGGCAGGTGAGCACTCAGTTCTGATTTGGGTATGCAGACCCGGGGCTCGGGGTCTTCTGCCGAATCACCGATTCCTTGCGCTGAAGATGGTGCGGCGGAATTCAAGTCCCCGCTGACGTTCTGTTCCCTGTCTTGTTGCTTGCGATGTTGCAATCGTTTGTTTCGCCTGGGAAACGTCTTCCAGACAAACCAGGAATAGGTAGCGCACGGGTCCTGCCTGGATTGTTTACCCAAGCTTGCCAGTTACACGTACGTATACACTTGCCGGTCGCCCCTTGGTTGAAATCGGCGGGGATCACGTTCGGAAATCGATACTTGCCGACATTCCCTTCCAGTTTTACGCCGCAAGCCCGCTGCGTCTCTGTGTCATTACCAACAAGAACACACCAGCGCGGATTTCTCGGCAGTTGTTCGGTCGTGGTGGACAGTCTACGCTCCGATACCTCAGTTCAGGCTCAGGCTCTCCTGCGCCCCCCCCCCCCCGGAGAATGCACGAGGCCCATCAACACCAACGTGGCGTTCCAGCCCCAGAGCCAAGCCGTTTGAATGGAGGCAGCTACGCGCTATCCGTCGCTGCCCATTGGTGCCTGTTGGTTTCACCACCAGGGTTGTATCCCAACCCCGCGGCCCTCTCAAACTCCCTGGTTGGTCAACCTCTTACACCCGATGCGATAGTTATGCATTTCGTACGTGAAGTCCGTCACCCGGAACCCCTTGTGGGTCCGCAGTTAGTTTTACGCAGAAAGATTCTGTGCCCCGCATTGCGTCATTTTCCCTCCTTCGCAAACGCTCCCGCCGAGGTCATTCTCCGACCGTGTAATATCGCCGATCGGGTATTGCTGTATCTTTGCGACGATAGAAAAGAGCTTGCGAGTTGCACCTGAGACCGGTACACGCATAGTCACCTAGGGATCTTCGTACCCGAACCGCAGCATGGCATCAACACGGCCGCTCAGGGTGGGCTTCGTGCCCGAACACTTCTCGACACCCATTCACTTCGCCAAGAAGCACTACGGCTTGGATGCCGAGTTGATTCCATTCCTTTCCGGTACCGGACACATGATCACGTCACTGCGCGGCGGAGAAATCGACGCGGCAATTGGCCTGACCGAAGGCTGGGTCGCTGCCCTGGGCAAGAGCCAACAGTCAGGCGACCAGGACGGCGGCTATCGGCTTGTCGGCACCTATGTCGAGACTCCGTTGTGTGAGTACCTGCACCATCACTCGAGTGTATCTGATATCTAACAATCATCATCGTATCAAGGTTGGGCAATCTCAACCGGTGCAAACCGAGATGAGATCAAGACGGTCGACTCGCTCCAGTCCGGCAAGATTGGCGTTTCG